CCATTCTGAGCTGGAAAAGAGGCTGGATGAAAAAAGCGCCAGTAGACACCCCAGACTACAAGAACCAAGCAGAGGAAAAGATCAGCTAATGAAGGAGAAAGAGCTCAGGAATAGAATTACTGAGTTGGAAAATGAAGGAGGGGCACCGCATACTGTAACTGAAGATGTCATGGCAGAAGCAAAGAGCAGTTAGCCCTAGAAGAAGAGAGGAAGAGTCAAGGGAAATACCCAAAGTTCAGAGCCACAGGAGGAGACAACATGACTTGCAGGAGATTGCAAGGGAGAACAAAAGAGTAGAGGACTTGCAGCCAGAAAGAACAGGAGGACATGTGGAATCAGACCAACACCAGTTACGTCTACACCGCAGGCTTTTTGCGCAAGAACTACACTGCATGTGCGTTCTTGCACAAGTAATTTACAGTAAAACATCAGAAAAAGAGGGCTTCTTGTGCAAGAGTTATTCCTCTCCCCACGAGGAATTAGCCCTCTTGTACAAGAAGGCAGAGTGGAGGGCAACAGAGGTTTCTTGCGCAAGAAACCCCTATGACTAAAATGGCCATCAGAGCTTTCTTGCACAAGAGAGCGTCCACACTGCCATGGATGCTCTTGTGCAAAAGCACATGGCAGTGTGGATGTGCTCTTGCGCAAGATCTTTTGTGCAAGAACTCTTGCACAAAGCAGTTCTTGCGCAAGAAGCCTGCAGTGTAGACGTAGCCAAGGAAAAGGGGCACACCTATGTGACTGGTGACTCACTGCTAAGAAGAACAGAAGGGCCTGTTACCAGAGCTGCTCTAGAGAACAGAAGGGTGTACTGTCTGCCAGAAGCTAAAATATGGGATGTGGACCTGAGGCTGAAAAGGATCCTCATGGGAGAACAAAAGTGTCCACTTATTGTCTTTAATGCAGAAACAAATGATATAGCTATATTCTCACTAGGCCTTATCAAGGGAGACTACACCAGGCTGAATATGATGCAAAGAAATGGAGGCTGAGATGATCTTCAGTAGGATTCTACTTGTCCGTAGATGGGGAGAATGAAGTTAAGACAAGATTATGATGACCAACAAGCAACAGTTCTATAAAAGGAGAGCATTGGGACATTTGACCATTGGGAAGCATTTATGGACAGAAGACAGTTCTCCATCTTAATAGGGAGGAAAACAACCTTCTTGGGATGAAGGTTGATACAAATGATTGAAAGTGCTTAAAAACCTATGAACTTGAGGGAGATGGTTGGGAGATGCTCTTAATCACCCTCTCCCCAGATTCTAACACTGGGTGGGAGAAAAATCAAGAAAGATGATACAGCAATGGAGAAAGAAACAACAGTGGGTAAGAGAATGGACAACGTGGAACAAGGATTTGAACATGGGTCTCCCTGCACAGAAGATTGCCCTAACCACTAGAGTAGTCTCTGATTGTCAAGTTGAAGCTTTCCACTGCATTTAAATACTATGTGTTGAGATAGTGAATGAGAATGATCTGGTTCCAGGCACTGACCTAATATCCCCTTGGCATCTTTCTCAGGTTTCTCCTAAACTCTTGTCCCAGTTTCTGGCCACATGTCCCTTAGTGGCTCCTTTCCCCAGCCACTAACTTGGACCTCTCAGACAGCCCCTGTTCTCCTTCCCCATCACCCTGGCTGAAAGAAGGCTGATTGTTTTATATCCCAGTGGCTAATCACAAGGCTGCATCAACCAGCTGGGTACAATGACACCCACACTCCCTGGGACAGAAACCCAAGTATATTGCACCCGGCAAAATATTTGCACAAGCCGCACCTAGTTCTTCATTTTCAGTGTCTCTGAATGGATACCCCAGCTCCCTCCTGTGACCAGGTACTCTACTCACTGTATATATGGTGCCTTCTCCTGGCCATTCTGGGAAGTAGTTCACTAGGTTGAATGCTGTTGAAAATCTTTCAATCCTGGACTCATGGAAGGACAAAACCTGGCTATTAAGCATTGCTTAGATGGGATTTACTTGGACAGAACAGATTGTACCATGCCCAGTACACAGTATGCAACACCATCCAGGCATAACTGACATGTGCAGGCAGGTAGCTTTGTAAATGTACATTTTGTGTCAAACATGAACATTGTGACATAAAAAGTGCAATAGAACAAAGGTGATGAAACTCATGCAGAACTGGATTTTGGTAGTTCACATACAAACATGCTAGCACCCTTTAAAAAGCAAGATGGTGCATCAAAATGAGCTCAGTTCACTGATTAGGTAGTTTAGTTGTAATTATTTACAATTATATTTCAAGTATACTCAGCACAGTGCAATGATAAAAACATAAATAGGCCTTGATAAGTAATAGGAAACTTCGTTACAGCATTTGCCCACTACATTTTTGTTGAGATGTGGGGAAACTACAGTTCTCTGCTTGTGAGAGCGTATTATGCTGTCTCTTCAGACAGGAATACTTTGAAACCAATGCTGTTTTAAAAATAATGGCATCCTATACCTCCAATTTACAGAACAAAAAAGCATAGATTACCTATTCTAATGACCACATTGGCGTGGGTGGCAGTTAGTGATATTACAAACTAGCGTGGTTTGCAATTCTAGTCAAATCAGATGTTTTATTTTGGCACATTAAGTACAGTTCAGAATAACATGGAATTGCAGCTGCATGGCACCAATGAATTAAGCATTGCATTCTGGAAATGCTTTTTTAAACAATTGCTTCCAATTAACTTGTTTTATACTTAGAGGTTCTAAGGTGCACATAGTTTTTTTGGCTGAAACTCTAAAATGTTGTAATTATTTAATTACAGAAGGACGTAATCCAATTCCTTTTGACAGGATGAACTTTTAAAGCAAATTATCAGTTAAAATATTGTGTAGTTCTCTAATTTCTAGCTACACATCTCAAAGCATATTACAAACATTTAAAAATTAAGCTTCAGAACCTCCCCATGACAAGTTATATATTAATACATCTATTTTATGACTGCAGAAACTGAGGCACCGGGAGGTTAAATGATCTGCTCAAAGTCAGGAATAGAACGCAGAACCATTAGACCAGGGGTGGGCAATATTTTTTGCCCAGGGGCCACTTAATAATTTTTTGAAGTAGCCCTGGGCCACCCTAGAAGGGGTGAGGCCTAAACAGGAAGGGGCGGGGCTATCCCACTCCCAAACCATGATTGGTCTGGGGGTGGGAAAGCTCTGTCACTCTTTCTCTCTCTCTCTGTAGCCCCAGCCCCATCCCTTCCTCCCGAGGCCTTGTGCCTTCCTGGGGAGGGCCATAGCTGGCTTGCAACCATATACCAAAATCTGTGACGTGGACACCCTGCAACAATTATTGCCCACCCCTGATTTACTATGTACTAATCAGCACATAGTGCTCCAACACTTCAGTTAGTCTATAAGGTGCCACAGGACTCCTCGCAGCTTAACCAGCACTATATTTCCTCTTGATGCATGCAAGGCAATCCTAAATCTTATTGCTTTCCTTTTGCCAGTAATCCCCTGTGAGCGTGAGCACTTGACCATGGTCATACATCATCAAGACACCTACCAATGCATTACATATTTTATTTAGAAAGGATGAATAAGACTTGAATATTACAACCCTTTAAAAAGTTTAAATTAACTAATCAAATGTAGGAAACTGCACAGGCGATATTATTTACAGAGAATAAAACAAAACTACAAAAGAAAGTTCTCACTACAAAAACAGCACAATGAAATATACAAACATTTCACTTTCTACCCAAACAACAGTATAAACATCAGCCTAAATCTCTCTCAATCACTTAATTTATTTTTATTCCCTGCAAATAAATCAAAGTCAGCTCTTTGGCACAGATTATTAGCATCTTAGTTGCAATGCCTCAAATGTGTTATTGCCACTTAACGCTGCTTCACCAGCACAAAATGTTCCTACGGTTAGTGTAACCAGTTAAAGTAGGATGACATATTATAAAGAGTTTTCTGCTCAATTCTGTGCCACCTTTCATGCCTACACCTGGTATAGGGTGCTTTGGCCAACCCAGAGTTCAGAGCCACTGACTCCATAAGGATAAACATGAAGTTCTGGGATTTCAGCTTTGGAGAGTAAGTCTATAACTCTAACAAGGTGTTTTCAGCATTCAATCTACATTTTAACACCACCGTGTGCAAAATATGATACTGCATGATGCTTTTGCTAAATATCCTCTTAGATTTCTACATATGCAAGCTTGACTGCCTAGCTCTTTTGAAGTGCTTTAGCAAGAAAGCATTCTGAGAGAATATTTGGACTTCAGTGCTAAACATATCTCCTGTGTTAACTGCCTGGTGACCTGGTTTGAAGTTTTAAGCCAGTGCAACAAATTCACCTGTAACCGAAAGCACCAGTTCCTTTAGCTCAAAATTATTTATCTCAAAGTTTGGTTGTTGTTAATCTTCCCATTAGTTCTCATCAACTATCTTAGAATTTGTCCCAGAATTGGAAGTGTTTTGGAATAAATGTTTCTATTTCCTTCTTTCATAAGTGTGCTTTCAAAGTGCTCTTTCTTGACTAAACAAACACTTTAATTACACTTCCCCCAAAATATCCTAGATGATAAAATTATCCAGGCACTCATATCATAGTTTTGGTTGCAACCAATTCCCATTACATAAAAAATATATTTTATACCACTTGGTATAAAAAGCTTTTCTGTATCAATCAGTAATAATGTACTGCCAGAATATAAAAATTCCTGTAAAATCCGATATTTGGTCTAATGTATTGTGCTGATGTCTAGATAAATAAAAAGAACAAACTCTGCATTTAAA